CCCCAGACTAACGGGCTGCGATCCCATCTGGAAGGGGACGGCAGGTGTTTGTGGATCAGCCTCTCCCCCTCCCCCAGATCCACACCCAGAGCAGCTCGCACTGCAGTGATCCCGTCACCCTCGTCCCCTTGTCCAGCGCGGTACCTACCCAGCGGGGGTGCAGCGCTGCTCAGGAAGACCTGCTGACCTTGCAGGAGTGTTGGGAGCAGATCCCTAGATCCCGAGTCCCCGGAGATTCCACGCTCGGGAGCAGAAGAGGCTTCCTGGACTCGTGGGAGAAGATACTCGCTCTGTATCTGGGGCCTTTGCCCCATGCTGCTGGGGGGGATAGCTCAGTGGTTTGAGCATTGGCCTGCTAAACCCAGGGTGGTGAGTTCAATCCTTGAGGGGGTCACTTGGGGATCTGGGGCAAAATCAGTACTTGGTCTTGCTAGTGAAGGCAGGGGGCTGGACTCAATGACCTTTTAAGGTCCCTTCCAGTTCTAGGAGATAGGATATCTCCATTAATTTATAAAAACAAAGGACAATAACCATCAGCTGGGACCAAGCCCACAGGAAGCTCCTCAACTCCATGGGGCACTTCCTGGATTCCCTATTCCTCCTCTGCTCTTTCACCTTCCCCAGCAAGGAGCAGGGCAGGGGGACCAGCCCTGGGATGGGAGGGGAAGCCTGGGCAGCAGGAGGGGTTGGGAGACCCCAGAGGGGGCAGGTGTTGGCTGGATAGAGAGGAACGAAGGGGTGGGACGGAAGGGGTGGGAGCCCCAGCGCTTGGGACATAGAACAAGGCACAACGGCCCATGCTGCCCGGGACGGCCCAGACTCGCTTACCCTGCCTGGCACTGCCAGCTACACAGCCGGGGCCTCCCGTCCTCCCTGGGCATTGGCCAACAGCCCTCAGTGTGTCCAGCTCCGTGCACCATGGCAGGCACACAGCTCGGGGATTGTTTTAAGGCACGAACGGCCATAAACCTCCTGCACGGCCACTTCGCCAGGCCCCCCGGAGCGTTCATTGGGCAGTTTGATTGGTCTCCCCCAGCCAGTGATCACAACGAACAGAAAAACATTCGGGAAATTCTCCCCGGCCTTGTCGTGGGCGTACGTGAGCCGAACCCAGCCCCCGCAGGAGGCCAGCAGCCATCCCAGGCAGCTGCCGGGTGGTGGGTTGGGCACTGACCCGGGAGCCTGGCACTGCTGGTGATGGGGGCAGGCTGCTCAGTGCCTCCCTTTGCACACCTGGCCTTACACACTTTGGTGCAAAGCTCTGTGGATCTAACACTTCCCTGGGGAGACCCCGGATGGCCTGACTCCCAGCCATGGGCTCTAACCACAGGCCCCTCGTGCTGCTCAGAAGCTCGGCTGCTCTGGGGCATGGTGAGCGACGGCTGCT